TTAAAATATTGAAAAGGTGCGGAAGAGAAAACAACTTTCATGTGTGAGATACAATTAAAAAATAGCAATTGAACAATATTAATTACTTCATAACTGTTTGTTGAAATTTTGAATTTTTTACTTTTGATTTTAAAAATTTGTGTTTTTTTTCTCCTTTTAATAATAGTTTTATTATTTTATTAGTAAAATGTTAACAAGAGACTTTTAGTTGAGCTTGAGGTCTCGTTCAAATAAACTTTATTGTTTATAAATTGTTATCATTTCTAAATGTACACCCTGTGCTACCAGTTTAGGTTTTTTACATTTTTTGGCTACCAACAAAACGTACGTCTATAGTAACTAAGCCAGCCACTAAAAATAGAAAAAACAAACGTTTGAACACAAAGACAGTATTAATCATGTTTCGTTTTTTTTTTCAATTTTAACCAGTTTATAAAAATGCGCTAGCCACGCTTAAAAAAAACAAACTGCTCCGATTTTTGCCACACATACAGAATATTAATGATAAAATTAGATGTCTTGTTATTTTGTTGGTGCTTTTAATAATATCAAAAAAACAATTTGCTAATAAATGATTTGACAAGTTAGGATTAAAAAAAAATACCTGCAATAATAGAAAAAAAATTAGGAATATTCTAAGCATTAGAACTGAATGAATACGATAGAAATCGAGTCAATTTTTACAAGATTTTCTTAAAAGCCACTTTTCTGGCACGATGCCACGATGATAGGAATTAGTTTGACGTTGGACGGTCGGACAATGTTTAAAAATAGCTATAGATAACTTTTGGTCTTTGATGGGAGAATAAGTAATTTCCTTTCCTTTCCTTAGAATAAGTAATTTTCGGAGAAAAAGGAGAAAATTATCGCATTAGAGTATCTGATCTAGAATCATTTTTCCAAATGTTCTGTAAATATTATATTTTGATGCAGTGATTTTGATGCATGGTGATTATTACAAAATAATTATAGAAAAAATGCAGTATTTGATGAAAGTAGAGCTAAAAATTGAAGGCGCTTGTATCGGCGTTTCGAAGTTTTACATAGCAAATTAACCAAAACAGGGGGACAAAAAATCGTATAAAAATTCCTTGGAATCCGTTCATTTTAGTTATGTATTGACTTCGGTAATATTACTAATAAAAACAAAAAATATTATTATTTTCGAAAATTTGATAACTTTTTTTCAATACCGCGTGTGACGGTTTTGATTTGAATTCCATAATTCGTGCCAAAGTTGACCAATTCGAACAAATCTAAACTTATTCTAAAATTTGATGCTATTTCCGACATTTTTGCTATCATTCAATAAAATTTAAAAAAAAAATTAAAAATTACGGCGCTTGACTTTGTTGCAGTTTTTTTATCTCACCCTGTATTTTAGTCCAATGTGCAACATCAAAAATAATTACAGGAAAAATGCAGTATTTGATGAATATTTAAGGGTTGAAAGCCTTCATACAGTATATGATACCCAGTTTTACAGAATAAATGGAAGTTCCCATTCACAAAGGTAATGCGAATTCCCATTCACAAAATGCAATTTCGTGGGAAGCCCCTTTCACATTGATTTGCTATTACCAAATTATGGGAACAAGTAAAATCAGCTGATATTTTCGAACATTAAATTATATTTGCTGATAACTGTGAAATTGTTTTCCTATGTCATTTCAGACATTTTTTATTTAAAAAAAATGTGCCCATCCAATTTCAAAGGGAATAAACGTTACTAAATGTGAAAAAAACGTAATTCCCATTTCGTTTCATAATACGTGAATTCACATTCGAACACTGTCAATTTGGGGAAAAAAAATCATAATAACAACAATGGGGAAATGGGAACAAAATTTATGGGAAATAGTTTTCATAATAGATGTGAAAATTAGCTCCAAGGAATCCTTCATCGAAAATTTAAAAAAAAATTGAAGGAGCCGGAACTTGGCCCTTTTATTAAGGTTACGTTGCGATGTAACGCTCAAAATAACGATACGGGTGTCTTTCCTTTTTAGCTCTTTCCATAATCTACTATTTTCCTTGTAATTATTGAAAGAATGAATTTTGTAGAAAAGTGTTTTTTCCCCTTTGCTGTAATCAAATAATAGAATTGCTATTTTTCCTGTGTTTAGTTTTCTAAATTGTTTTTGTAAACAAAAATTAACTACTGCGGAAGTTTGAAAAGATAACAAACGTTTTTACTTCAGAAAAATGCAAATAATAAATTCTAAAACAGATGTACAAACAGCAGACAGTACATAACATCGCTTCCAGATTGTGGGAGTGATGCCCACAAAATAAACATCTTTACAAAGGTAATAAATATATATTATGTTTCGTTTCGTATTTATCGGTAAAAACTGTTATCAATTTCTTATTATTTATTTATTCATTGATTATTACAATTGTTTACTTAGTTGACAACAAAGTAAGAGCTCACTTTCGTTTAAATAGTGTCTGAGTAGGGCATACATTTGAAATGCATTCTGTGAGGGGAATGTTTAAAAATGTGCAAATATTTTATTAAAAAAATCTTATCAGCAAATTACAAGAGAAGTGCACGTGACATCATCACACAACTGTAAATATTAGTTTGCTTTTTGATTTTGAAATTAAACAAAAAAAAAAAATTGATTGTAGCCCACTGATTAAAAAATGTTCCCTGTATTTTACACGTGAAATGTGTCTTACTTTAACAATTATAGGAAAAGGATAACTGGGTATTCAGTATTTTTATGTGATATAAGTTAAACATAAATACAGGGTGAGAAGAAAAAACTACAACCAATTTCAGACTGCTGTTATTTCTAGGCCACTCGTCCGACCGCTGTTAAAATTCTTCCAGTGACAGCTCATTATATTGTTTACAAGCGTACAAAAGCACTTTGGAGAGAATTTTCCAGAAAAAAAAGTTATTCGTGATGGAATTCAAGCGTGATTTCTTTATATGTGGCTGAAAAACCACAAGTGGCTATCGTTAGAGCACTCCAGCATTTAAATGTGAATAAATCTTTTGTGTCTAGTACCATCGCTGGTTACCGTGATACTGGTAGCGTAGCCCGACGTCAAGAAAGTGAACGGAAAAAAACAGCAACATCACCAGAAATGGTTCGAAAAATAAAGAAGCGACTTGAACGATACCCGCGTCGCAGTGGTCGAAATGGCTCGTAAGCTTAACATATCGCAACACTCCATTCGGCAAATATTGAAAAATAAGCTCGGGGTAAAGCTATTGAAATTCCAAAATATGCAAGAACTTACACCGCAACAGAAAGGAAATAGACTCAAAAGAGCTAAAGAGTTGCTTCGCTTGGCCGAAAGTGGTAAACTGCCGAATTTGGTTTTCTCCAATGAGAAAACATTAGTTGTCCAGTAGTTTGTAAACTAAGAAAATAATCGTGTTTACTTGCCAAAGAGGTCAGCTGAAAATTTGCACCTTCGGTTGGCCACCAGAACTCAAGCGCCGGCCATGGTGACGGTGTGGGCCGCCATAACAGCCGATGGTCGCTCTATTAATCTACTGTGGCATCAGAATAAATGCCGAATATTATCGCGAAAATATTCTGAAGGGTGTATTAAAGCCTTGGGCACACAAACATTTTGGCTGCAACCCTTGGGCATTCCAACAGGACTCAGCACCATCGCACTTAGCACGCGCCACCCAAGAATGGTTACAAAATGAGGTTCCTCGCTTCATTTCCAGCCCACACTGACCACCAATATCTCCGGATACCAATCCGTTGGGCTATTGTATCTGGAGTATTTTGGAAACAAGGTTGGCACTAAAAAATATCAAAGTGTCGATCACCTCAAGCAGGCACTTCGCCGGGAATGTGACGGTTTCATTGGCCGTTTGATGGCCATAATTCGTGCCAAATGTGAGGAAATCGAACAAATCTAAGCTTATTCTAAAATTTGATGCTATATTCGACAGTAAATTAAAAAAAAAAAAAATAATGTAAAAATTATGGCGTTTGACTTTACAGTTTTTTTATCTCACCCTGGTAAACAGAATAATGGCAATGAGCTATAATGAACATTATAAACCAGATGGGGTGACGAATATTTTTCTGGTGACCCTTAAGTGCATAATTATTAAATATACACACATACAACTGCTTATGTTGCTTATATCTGGGATGATATTTAATATTAGTATATATTTGCGAATTGCCCCCATATAGTACACCCGATGTTTACATTATATAAAAAAAATTACATTAAATTTGGAAAAGTAAAATTTTTTGAACCAATCGACACTCTATCGCATTAACTAAATTCCGGAGACATCGTTAAATAAATGCTGAAAAACGTGGACCTGTGTTGTTATTCCTCTGCTAGTTCTGTTTCAATTTTTATCTCTCCTATGTTTTTACAAATCAAACTAATAACCCATTGTTTTAACAAGGACATATGACTCGAAATAAGTAGCTACTACTCGACTTAAGAAATAACAAGTATGTAGAAAAAAGTACAATACAATAATGCTGTTTCTGAATCATAATTCTAATGGCCTTTGTTGAAATTTAAAATTTCAAATCAACTATGCACTTGAGTTTGTTTTAATACAATCTTAATCGATTCGTACTCCATTAAACTCAAGTTTAAACACTAAACACATGTTGCGATGCAAAAGCATTTTAATAACGTAAGATTGTGTAATAATCTTTAAAAAGAAAGCCACGATTTAACAACAAAAACCGCCAAGATTTCACCCACTTAAAAGAGAATGTAACTTTCGATACAAACAACTGAATATAACACATTTCGTCGTTGTTTTTTGAAGGTCGACCCCAAAAAAACGCACGTCTGGCTTGCATCGTTAAATAGTAAAATCCCAAAACAAGTTTTGTTGATTTAGTGTTGAATACAATCAATGACTAATAAATGGGGTTGCAAGACCGTATTAAAATTAAAAAAAAAAAACTGATTCAGAGGTTAATACCCTCGCATGAAATAAAGCAAACAATTTAACATTTGAAAAAATGCATGTAATCAAAACTTACATTTGTCAATTGACCCCAGCCAGTGGGCCAAAATTCCGGTTTACGCCAAGGATCTGTGGGATAGGGTTCAATGGGTGTACGGTCTCCATGGCGATAGATCTAAGGTGGAATACCCAAATTAGAAATGTCCAAGAAATCCAAGGCGCAAATATTTGTGCCATATTTCCAAACACTTACCACATGGGCAAAAACTAATTTTCCTTTTAGATTTGTTGTACCAGCTGTTGCTTCTTTGTGCGAAAATTCAACGTCAGTGGAAAACATATCACTCTCTTCCTGCTGCTGCTGCTCACCCATTGCTGTGGAGGTGGGCATATTGTTAATGTCCGAAAAAGACGAAGACGACGAGACCTCAATCGTATTGAATATGACCAAAAATAACAACAAGCAAGAATATGCAATTTGCGATGGACGTTGTTGTAGATACCAACAACAACGAGGAGAACTGCTGTGATGACATTTTGAAGGTGTTTGCTTTCTTGTTATTAAAGACATTTTATGATTTTGCATAATGCTTGTTTTATAAGTTTCACTTTTACACACAGCACGGCGGCGATTGTTTTATTAACTTAAAAATATGCCTTTTGGCACAACGAAAAAACTCGGAATTTTTGTATATCCTAATTTTGTAACTCGAGAGGTTGTTGTCTGCATTACTTCTTCATGCCCGTCGCAAAGAAGCAGTGTAGTGTACTGTTGTTTTCTTATTTGACGAAACGACGACGACAATAGACACAAACGAAAAACACCGTCAAATATCAACGCTTGAATGCTCGGTATCCCCACACAACAACAACTGAAAAATGTTTTTGTTTTTTTCGCGAACTGAGTGTGAAATCCACATGGCGTTGCCAGTATTGGAGAGTCTTCTACAAACTGGGGATAAATTTAGGAAACATGGAAAATTTGTCACATAAATTTGATTAATATTTTCCACATAAGGAATTTTGGTTTAAAATGTGATATATTTAATCAAAATTTAAAAAAAAATTAAATTAAAAATTAAGTTGTTTAATTTTGTAAAAAAAATCCAAACATTTTTCTTACATTAAATTTGAAAATTTGAATTTTCATATATTTTAGGAGATTTTTGTAGAAAAAATAGCAAAATATATTGGCAACCCTACAAGATAAGATTGTCAGTGCCGACTGCATTTACCCAACGGCGTTGATATTTTCTGTTTACACTTTTCCACTCCATTAATAACGACGGAGAATCAGTGATTCTTGTGAGTTTCTCTCAAGACATCTTTTTACTCATATCGGTTACATGGAGTACAAACGTATCAACATCGCGGTCAAGTTGCTCAAACAAATAAAACTTAGAATTCGAAGACAATGTTTAAACCATTTGGTTTTGGTTTTTTATTCAATAGATTAAAAAAAATATTATTTGGCATTCAATCATGGTATTGTCCAGCCAAAGACTAATGAATTGCTCTGTTCCAGAACTGCTAGAATGTAAAAATGTTTATTACGATATCATAAACGGAAAATCGGTTATCATAGTAAAAAATTGCACTCTTGCAGTTCTGGAACAGACCAATAGTTTACCAGTAGACAGGTTAAGTTTATAAATGGGCCATGTCGGTCCACGTTTTCGTGTAGTCCCTATACAGGGTGAGATGAAAAAACCGCAACCAACTTCAGACTGCTGTCAGCTGTTAAAATTATTCCAGTGACAGCTCATTATATTGTTTACATTGAGAGAATTTTCCACCAAAAAAAAAGATATTCGTAAACAATAATAATAAAACCTCGGAATTGTTAACTATTCCTTCCCAACTTTAAAAATCTCAATTGAGATCGTCAATAACGCTTTTTTATTAAAACAAACTTTTTATTTATTTTTTATATTAGATTATGTATATATTTTAAACTGTATTTAAATAAAACTACATATTTATATGATTTTTGTAAAGATGTAGGCACAAGTGTCTTGCTACAGTCTCTTTTTAAAATACTTTTAAATTAAAAGTCTTATAAAATTAAGACATATTAAATTAGATTTCAAAATTCACTTTAGCTTTTTCTAACGTTGAGTTATTGTCCTACCTCACCTGTGAATTCTGAAATATTTCTTAAGTTATCCATGAATGATTAGTACTTTTTAAAAGAAAATTATTTAAAGATCCTAAACTTCGTTCATTTTAATTGCACGTTTGAGTTTTTAAAAACGTCTCCTGCAAAGAAAATAATTAAATGAAGATATTGATAATTGGCGGTATTTTTAATTATTATTAATAAAAGTTGCTAAGATATGTTCCAGAACCTGCAAGAATCTGCTAGTTTTGCAATTTTTTAAAGGAAAAATTAGTCGTCGTAGTAGAAATGCTAGCATTCTTGCAGTTCTGGAATAGATCAAAAGTATTTCATAAATGTTAAGTTATGTATTCTACGTAATTCATTCTTTGAGCGGGCAAACTATGTTACAGTGAATAAAAACTTCAATTTTATTATAATTTGTTACTTACTTCAAGCCTATCCTCTCTTTTTTTTAACGTAGACTTTCGTTTACTCTCATATAAGGTCGGCCAAGAATATAACAATTTGACAATAAACTTTGTATTTTTTGCACTATTGCTATCTGATTCTTATAGGATTTCAAATTGCAATGTCTTTTGACAACAAACTTAGTTGTCTCACAGGCTTACTGGCCGACCTTACATAGGCCAAGATTGCCGTGCTATTGGATGCATGCTATAAATGCCATTGAAAGATCAATATCTTAAATATATCTAGTTTTGGTATATTTAAGTAAACCCACCGGTATTACTCTGAACATTGAAATTGGTCTTTGAATTCAAGTCCCCATTCTATGTGTCGGTTATGAATTGTTTACACAACTGTAGTACTTACGAAACACTTGCCGTTTATTAAGAAAGTTGTATTCTGCATTTGCCTATCGCCTTTTCATAAACTTATTTTAATTAAAACGCATATTTTTCTTCATTTCTTTTTTAGGGGGAGGGCTTTATATATATTTTTTTTTGTTAGATTATTTTAAAACGCATTGTTAAATGTCTTATAAAATTGTGTGTTTTACGATGTCAATAAATTATTTCTGTTACAACATTGTTATTTGTCTGGGTTAATAGAACATAGAATTTCGTTTTAGATCTCCGTATAATGGAGTGAAGGAAAAATTAACTAAATGTGTAAATAAGAACAATCACACAATGATTGTAGTTTTCTAGTATTAAGGTCATTTATAATTAGATGTATATGATATAGTTAAATAACCTATCAGCCAGATGACATTTGTAATACGTGCCTTTCGCATGGCATATTATCTTCTGATTTCTTGAGATATTTATACTTTACATGGATACCTATTTCTATGTTGTTGATTGTATTCCATTGCATGTTCCACTTTTTTGTATTTTAAATATCGCAATTTTGTTTAGATTATGTTAATCGCTCTATTTGTATATTCCATAATATGGAAAAACTAAATTAATTTTTCATGTTTTCGAAATATGGATTTTATCTTAATAGCGGCGATTTGGCATATTTTGTCGTGGTGCATTGCTGTTTAAAAGAATATATAAAATGTGTCGATTAGTTTCGTTTATTTAGATAATTTGATATCATTCTTAAATTAGTCATATTATTATGAGGACCTAGAGGACTCGTGGTTACATTGGACTGTTTACCACGGCAATTTAAGTTGAAAAAAGGCTTTACTTTAATTCCATTTAAAATATGTGCCCATTTAACTAGAATTGGAAGCTCGGTTCCATATATCGCATGCTTGATCTAATTAATATTTTTCCTTTGTATATATTATTCGATGCTTGAATAAATTTCAGAAAATTGTTATATATTCAATATAGAAGAATTGACCATTTCTATACACTAGAATATTTGTTATAGACTGGTAAAACCCGTCTTTCGCATGATTGTGAATTGCTTTTTATTTTTTGTTTATTTAAACAATATAAGATTTTCATACTATCCTACAAATGAAAATCTGAATTTATATATGGAACAGTTGCCAGATTTGATAAGTTTTGGCTGAATAAAGGTACAATGACTTCAAACCTTATCTTCCCTTTCCACAAAAGAACTACCTTTTTTTAATAAAAAAGGATAAACTTACCGATTCATATTGCCACCGCTACCACCACCACTGACTCCTCCAAAACTGCCTCTTCCCAATGGACCACCATTTCGTGGCATGTTGCCTTGCGTATTTCCGCCACGATTAAATCCACCTCCAAAATTACCACTACGATGACCTACGTTTGCTCCTCGATTGTTCCCAAAGTTTCCTTGTTGAGGAAAATCGTTTCCGCTACTTAATGGTGGGAATTGCTGTTGATAGTCATCGCTCACATTCATGTTATTTGAAGCGAAGTTCTTTTTAAAGCCTCCTTGTTGTTGTGGCGAACCAACTGGACCGCCATTTGGGCCACCACGATTATTAAAACCGCCACCACGGTTTCCACCGCGATTGAAATTGCCACCGCCCATATTATTACCGCCAACAGGACCACCACCCCTAAAATGGATAAAAAAAATACAATTTTCAGAGGAAATAAAAAAATTAATTCCTAAAAAGACCGACAGATTTAAAACACCGACTTGCGATTTATCGAACTTTTACGGTACATTGCAACACTTACATGTTAGGTCCGTTATGATTTCTCCTTTGGAAGAGACCATCGTCGTTGCCAAATCCTAAATCACCACCAAAACCACTTCCTTGTTGGTTGCCAGCAACACCGTATTTGGGTGGTTGATTCGTGGGCAATGTAAAGCCACGTCTATCTTGTTGCCCACCAAAATTACCGGCTGGGACATTGTTCATATTACCACTGAAGCCACTTGAAAAGTTGTCATTGAATCCACCACCACCGCCTACTCGGGCTTGATTTTGGAAATTACCACTGCCGGCTCCACCACTTCTATTTGGGCCGCCACGAGGGCCGAGACCGCCACTGACATTATTCCAATTTCCATTATCTCCGGAATTGTTGAAATTTCCACCTCGATTTTGGCCAAAATTGCCGCCAGGACCTCCTCCACCCATTCCGCCAGATCTATTTTGATTAAATTTACCACCTCCTTGTGGACCTCCCGCATTCATGTTTTGTGATGGATATGGGGCAGAACGTTCATTTTTAAAGCCCTGATTGCGCATTGGACCAGGACCACTCATATTTTGGGGACCACCGCCACGTCCGCCCTGGAAGTTTCCGCCTCCTGAACGACCTCCACGAGGACCACCTCCTCCCATTGGTCCACCACCTGAACCAGAGCCCGTTCCTATAAGGAAACCACCACCTCCTCCGCCACCACCTGCAATATTTTCGGTTTGGTTTTGGTCATTTAGCAAATCCAATATGACGCTGGCCAATTGCAATGTGGCCACTTGTTTGGCTTTATTCGAATGCTGTATATTGCCAGGGAAGCCAACTTTAAAACATTTATGGAATGAATAATGGGAAAAAAGGAATACAAAATTGATAGTTATGCCATTAAAACAAAAATTAACGTCGTCTTCATCTACTCGTGTGTTGGCTTCCCTCAGAGCCATTAGATTAGTAACGATTATTAACAATTTCAGATTACAAGCATTTATTTGTTTACAACTTACCACCGCCTCGTCCGCCACCACGCTGGGGTCCACCCCCTCGACCAACTTGATTAGGTCCACCACCTTGTGGGCCACCACCGCGTTCCTTTGGTCGACCGTGTTCCACAACAATTGATTGTCCCTTAAATTCACTGGCATTCAGAGCCTGAATAGCTTTCTCCGCCATTGCGGGATTCTTCATATGTACAAATCCACATCTATTCATGACATCACATTCGACGACTACACCATAGTTTTCAAACAAATGACGAAGTTCTTCTGGTTTTGTGCCTGGAGGTAAGCTACCAACAAAAACTTTGGTAGGTTGCTAAAAATACATATATTTTAATAGAGAAAATACACGGATATATATTTTTTGTAACAATCGCCAAGAATAATCAAAATGCATTGCTGTCCATACGAATAACATGAATAACTTTAATTGACTTTCAAAACTTTTTGTATTTAAGTGGAATACTTACAGCGCTGAAGGCTATACTTACAGCCATTGTATTTCTTTTTTTTTTCTACTGTTTAATCTACTTTCACGAAATTTTATATAAAAATACTTATTTGACGCGGCTTTTTCACATGCAGAATAAACTATGTATGTATGTATGCAAGCTACACCAGTTTGTGTAATGTCAGAGACAATATATCGATAACAAAAAAATGCACCTGTGACATTTCACAGCAGGGAACCGATTAGTAGATACTGTAACGTAAGATACTGCTTATAGAACGTTTACAATAAACATTTTATATGAATGCGATCATGGTATAATTATTACAGGTAGCAGCAATCCCCAGATGATGTGACTCTATAGTAATACTAGTGACACATTCGATACGACGTTTTCTGATTTAATTCCACGTTCTGACATTTAAAGAAAAAATTTATTCAGGTAGTTCCTATGCCCTACCTTTTCTTCATTGTACCATGGTAAAAAATAAATGAATTGAATTTTGACAAGGTAAATTTCAGAAAACACAGAGATGGATAGTCTTGTTTGAAAGGACTTTACCTTTTTAATTTTACCATGGACATTTTGTATGTTTTTCGGCTATTTAACTCTTTCGATTTTTTTTTTCGATTTCAAAATTAACATTTCAGCCAATCAGAAACTGGCAACTATGGTGCTATTTTTATTCGGCTAAATTCGCCCGGTAAAAAGTAATAAAAGGGAATTCCAATGTTCATTTATGTGCACTTTCTTCAATTTGCATTTATTTTTTACCATGGTACAATGAAGAAAAGGTAGGGAATAGGAACTACCTCAATACATTTTTTCTTTAAATGTCAGAACGAGTATAGTTTTATTGTTAAATTTTGCCAATAGAGCAAAAAAATCTATATATTCGCTTCGACACAATAATATATCAGCGAATTTCTGCTTTTATAGTGTTCGGCAATAAATGTTTTATATAATTAAAAAATATTATGATAAATGTCAATGTTTTTTTGAAACCTATTTGCCTTTATTTTGTTGCTTTGGAAGTTGGCCAATGCAAAATGAATATGAAGAACCTTCCTCTCTGATCTTCGGTATAAAATTGAATGTTGTTTCCATGGTAGTCGCATCGACGCTGCTGCTGTCTAACCAATTTTGAAAGAAAAATTTTTGAAATTTGTAAATATGAATTTGTATTTGTTGAAAAGATAAAAAAAGCAGAAAAATATTCTTAAAAATTTGATATATCAATGTTCCCAAGCGTTGATACATCTACCTGTTTTCTTCTACCATTGTTGCTGCATATGCCTATAGTTTTGGAGGATTCATAAGCTTTTTGTAATGGTCGGATTAAAAAACTGGGATATAACGCAAATGTTCTGACGGAACTTTGAACCATAATATCTTGAGAACTTAGAAGAATCACAATTGCTACCCGTGTTAAAAATGACCAATTGATTTGATTGATTGGGCTTTAAACTCGGGTTACCTCTTTCATTCGATTGTACAAGCTAACACAAACGGTTAAGAGTATCCACTGATTAAGAATATCGTTTGACCTTCAATAAGATTTTTTTGCCTTTAGTAATATATAATTATTATTATTATTATTGTTATTATTATTATTATTATTATTATTATTATTATTATTATTATTATTATTACTATTATTATTATTATTATTATTACTATTATTATTATTATTATTATTATTATTATTATTATTATTATTATTATTATTATTATTATTATTATTATTATTATTATTATTATTATTATTATTACTATTATTATTATTATTATTATTATTATTATTATTACTATTATTATTATTATTATTATTATTATTATTATTATTATTATTATTATTATTATTATTATTATTATTATTATTATTATTATTATTATTATTATTATTATTATTATTATATTATTATTATTATTATTATTATTATTATTATTATTATTATTATTATTATTATTATTCTTATTATTATTATTATTATTATTATTATTATTATTATTATTATTATTATTATTATTATTATTATTATTATTATTATTATTATTATTATTATTATTATTATTATTATTATTATTATTATTATTATTATTATTATTATTATTATTATTATTATTATTATTATTAGTATTATTATTATTATTATTATTATTATTATTATTATTATTATTATTATTATTATTATTATTATTATTATTATTATTATTATTATTATTATTATTATTATTATTATTATTACTATTATTATTATTATTATTATTATTATTATTATTATTATTATTATTATTATTATTATTATTATTATTATTAATGACTTATAATAATACTAAAAATTATAATAAATTGTTCTAAATAGAAAAGCAGCACGAAGCCGGTATGAGCATTATCTGCTGTCAAATAAAATAAGTATAGTCTCTCTGGCACCAACTTTCATCTTGTGATGACATACAATCACTGTTAAGTCTCAAGTCCTCTAACGTTGTTTTCCGTAAGCATTAAACGCCCTCGAAAGGTAAAACACAACAAATACACATGGCGTATTTAATAGATCGATCAAGATTTTATTGTAAATTAAAACTAACTCATCCAATGTTATAAGTTAGCCCTAAGTCTGCGGTCCTCGGGTCTTCGGATGCACCTTCAAGAGAAATGGGTGGTATTTTACAATCGAACCTTTGACAACATTTGTAAATGTTTGTATATATTGGGAGGCTGGGATTTAACAGAGGTTCTTGAACAAAGATCATTCTTTTCTTGCCATGTCTTACGAATTTTTTTATCTTTAAATGTGGTATTCTTGCCATAGCTAGATACACAGCACTTGTGTATTTTTATTTTATGGCTGCGCAAAAGATTGAAATTAGTAATTAAATTGCATAGAAAAATCAGTTCACTCACTGCGATCTCATTCTTTTGACCAAAATCATATAAATTAATAAATCATTCCTAATTGTTCTTTTGTTTTTCAAATTTAAATAAAAAATATCTTGACAGAAAAAAACGGACAGTATTATTGACATCTATTGTAGTTGCCAGGCAAATTCAAATTATGTTGACAGAAAATGTAGGTATCAGGTGGTCCTACTTGTCGACCTTACAGTTGGTCCATGGGTGATATTGTGCAAAACTCCATTGCCTTCCATTCGCTTTTCGCGATTATATAAAAATATTGGGAGAAAAATGTCAAATAAAAAAATTATTTGCTGCATTTGTTATTAGTAGATTTGAAGTTACAAAAATAATTAAACGTAACTTTTAAAGTTTCATTAATAGAAAAACAATGTTTGATTTGATACAAATAAAAATAAAGTTTATGGGTTAGCTATAACCATGGTACAATAAGGAGGTAGAACAGCTTCGTAAAACTACAAAAATACAGCCCTGAGGCTATGCCCGCTTCCTGTCAGACTCATTTAAAATTATTGTTTTAATTTTTTCATATTTTTCCTTATTTTTTTTTAAATGAGTCAAATACCGCGAAAAATGAATAAAATGTCTAGACTTTCTCTCAAAAATATGATCCTAACTGTTCAATCTTTTAGTTTCATGGCTGTACTGGTTAATAGCTTTAATGCGCGAGCCGCAATTCATGTGTTGTGAAAATATTTTTTTTTTTCATTTTTCAAAACAATAAATACATACACATAACTGGCAGAAGTCGGGCACACTTAGAAAAAAATTGTAATCAGCTGTTAGCTCTACCTTACCTTTTAATTGTACCATGGCTATAACTTATAACTTGCCTTGAATTCATTGTACCATGTGTAAACATAGTATTATGCCATTATGGCCAACAGCTGATTTTATTGTTACTAATGTGGCAGCTACTGCCGGTGTTGTCGGATGTTTTAGACGGTGACGTCACAGTATACATAAAAAATAGTATCGTCAAAAAATGACATTTGGTTTGTCATTTTCATTTTTATAACAGAAGGCGAATACGCAGTTATCTTACTGGAGATTTTTTAAAAATAAGTTCATAACAGTTAAACAAATAAAGAAAAAACAAAAGAAAAACACACATCAGACCCAATATAACGAATTAAAAAAATAAAAAAACCGAAAATGCAAAACACAAGGATATATAGGAATTAAAACAAAAGCAAACGTGCGCAAAATTATCAATGAATTGCTGTAATAAAAGAACGATAGCTACGACGACGACGTTTATACGAAGAAAATTGTTGAGTATAGAATTGGATTCTTAGGTTACCGGTCGCTACCCTCCGCACAACAGTTTTTAACAGCTCAACAATTTTTTTTAACAAAAGTAGAGTAATTAAACCCTCTGGTTTGGAAAAGAACATAGTGTATCATACATACGCAGACACATAAACTCACACCCAACGAAATACAAGGAGTGCAATGAATAGCCTTAGCGCCAACAGCACTGGTAATTGCAGTGGTGGCATTACAGGTATACGCCCTTCTTCAGCCAGTGACGACCAAGTCGGTGGTGGTGCTGCAGGTGGTGATGCTGATGCAAATTCCAGACGACAAGCAACACGGGTATTTAAGAAAAGCTCCTCCAATGGCAAAATTACCGTGTATCTGGGCAAGCGAGACTTTGTCGATCACAGCACACATGTTGATCCCATCGATGGTGTTGTATTCATTGATCCAGAATATGTTAAAGATCGCAAAGTTTTCGGCCAAGTTTTGGCTGCATTTAGATATGGACGCGAGGATTTGGATGTATTGGGTTTGACATTTCGCAAGGATTTGTATTTGGCCAACGAACAAATATATCCACCGACCCAAAGTGAACGACCGTTGACACGGCTGCAAGAGAGGCTGATAAAAAAGCTGGGACCCAATGCATATCCTTTTTACTTTGAAGTTCCTCCATATTGTCCGGCATCAGTGTCGCTACAACCTGCCCCTGGAGATACAGGAAAATCCTGCGGTGTGGATTACGAACTCAAAGCATTTGTTGGTAAGTATTTGAATTCAGACGCTCGAAACCCCCACCCAATTCATCCCCCCATAATTAGATTGTGGTTTGTCTTTAATTAGACATACAATTTTGTGTAGATAACTACTGCTGATATGAGCTTGAGTGTTTCTGTTTTTTTGATCAATCAAGGTCATGCTACAATAAAAATCATAAGATCACAAGGGGGGCAAGCATCACAAAATGGCAAAAAAAAAAACAATTGAAAACCAAAAAATGAACGTTTAATTAATCAATCAACACTGAACGCCTCACAGTTTATATCCATATGTTTATTGCTGGCGTTTGCCTGCCAATCTGCTTGCTGCTGATTCGTTGACTACTGGCCTGGTCTGGTGGTATATACTTGTTGTACATACATGCACACGCACACAAACAGACACTGACTCGAGTTATATAGTAGCCAAATGATGCTTTATTATGTGTCATCATCGGTAATAAAAAAAGGCTTACAAGTTGTTTTGATCGCACTGTGGGTCATATTTTTTTATTTATATGACCTATGCCTCCACATGCCCTACCTTTTCAATGGAATTATGATTACATGTTAATGGCGATATCATACTATTTGTGTGATGAAACACTTTTCAGGTTCATAAATCCATATGAATATTCAAATAGAATTCAAATTGCCATCAACTTCCAGAGCAATTAAGCAATGTGGTCAAAGTAATGTGGAAAAGAAGGTTAATCTTAAATTCTTAATTCCAAAAACCCCGGGTTTCTGCTACATCCTATAGTATTAGCATATCTTTTGAGTATGGATATTTTTAATTATGAATGTTTGTACTTCCTCTCTTGTAATTGAAATATAAATCTTATAGATATCCAAAAAGCGCAGACTGTGGGGCGAATCTAAACTCAAAGATCGTTGAAAAAGTCATTATGTGCAGATCACAGAGATGGGAATTGCATTCGCCCAGCATGTTATTAAATATGCTTGTTTTTAACTATGAATGTTTGTAACTCCTCTTTGGAATTGAAAAAAAAAAATCATAAAGAGATCCGACTGTAGGCAAATATTTACTTATTAAGCAGATTTATCAATTCAAGCATTGGAGTTCGCCGTAACGCCACAAAAGGAGGGACGTAATTTTACATCTAATCCACACGGATAAATTTTCACGAACGTAATTTCAGATACCACGATGGCTGTTTTAATAGTTGTTCCCTTATGTTCAATTAACTATGAATACAGTTTTCCAGTGATAGATGGGGTGGCCATAAAGTTTTCTTATATTAAATTTTAAGGCATCGAATTTTTAAAAGACCTCATCAAAAAACGTCATTTTGTTGCAAATTGAAATGATTGCCAATAAAATTTCTTTAATTTTCACTTAATTGCAAACTTTTGTACACTGTTTTGGTTTGATTTTACAATACCACGAATCTTAGGTTAATGGAAACACCTTTTCCAAATTGAATACTCTAACTAAAGTATAATAAACTCTTTCCACTTCATATTGTCGGATAAATTCTAATCCGATTATCCCTTTTGTAATTTTTATACCCTCCACCATACTATGCAGGGAATATTAACTTTGTCATTCCGTTTGTAACTCCTCGAAATACTCATATCAGACCCAACAAAGTATGTATATTCTCGAGTTTAAAATTCTAAGTCGATTTAGCGGTTTCCGTCTGTCTGTTTTAAGCATGATATCTTTCGAACGTTTTCTATAGCCCCAAAGAACTGTACCCCTCAATAATCGATATTTTGAAGATTTTAGCGACATTATAGACCAGAGTTGTTTCAAATTTCGTATTGAAAGATCTTAAGGGGAACTGCAAGCTATGACAAAATTACTTATGCAAGTCCGAATCTTCGTATAGCCCCATATAACGGTACCCCTAAATGACCGGTATTTTGATGATTTTAGCTACTTTACAAAGCGTAATGGTTTCAAATTTCGTATTGGAATATGATAAAAACAATTAAATATGCAGGTCCACGTCTTCGTGTAACCTATAACTATATAACGATATCTCCTAATATTCTTTATTTTATAGATTTTAGAGACATTATTCTACGAAATTGATTTACAGCCAACCAATCACAGAAAATAGTATATTCCTTCACGTCTTCGTATTCCCCACATATATCGGTACCTCCCTTTTTCGATATTTTAATGAATATTATTGAATATTTGGATTTTTCGTATATCCCCCCTTAAAAATCGGTTTTCATTTAAAGGACGATATGATCTTAAGATTTTGCATGTTTCTTTCAAATGTAGAGGGTATTAAAAGTTCGACCCGGCAAAACATAGCTGCTTTTTTTATTTGTTTTCTTTGAACTTACAAATATCTACACAGTCAAAAGTGAATTAAAATAACCATTAATTTTAGACTTTGCTTTCTGCAAAATAAAAGTCAATGACTCATTTGATTTTTATTTTGATCTTTAGAAAGCCCGACTTGACAAAATTTACAACCACTGTGTGCATGTAGTCAGTCTGTTGTCATAACATGCATGTTTTACATTCTTCGTCCAAAAATTGTTGTTTTTTTTTTTGGAAAATAACATTTAAAAGCAATCGCTAGGCCGACTTGTTGGCTGGTTGGCGGACAAGCATCAGTATGGATGGCAAGTTCATAAACATTTCTCTTCTGTGTATATTTCATTTTTCCAAGTAAATTATGCGCTTACTCATGCCGATCAGCAGCAACACAAATACTATAATATGTACCCCACCATCAAACAACAGCTCGTAAATATGGCTGGTTGGTGATGGTGGTGGTATGGGTGTATGTTGACGCAGTAACTAAATTTATCATTCATTACCCAGTGTTCGGTTCGGCAGGCTGATCCAGCTTGTGGTGCTGCTGTTGTTTAAATTCTTAATTGTTTTCTCAATGAAATAATGTTTTTTTTTTTTTGGTTTCTCATGTTGATCGGTATTTTTTGCTTTCGCAATTCCCACCTCCCTGGCCTCCTCCATATTTTTAATTAATTTTGCTTGGAGGTTTCTCTACAAACAACAAATAGTGGAATCTATAGAAAAGAAGCTAATAAAAACAAATGCCGGCATTTATTTACTTTTTAATTCGCTATATTGAACCTTCCTATATTTTCTAACGTAGCAAGCTAATAAAATATTTGGAATTTTTATGGAGTAGTAGTAGTAGTGGTTGGCAACCAAGTACATTTTTGCAATATTCCTTATATGTATTTTACTACGTCACAAGTTTTGTTTTTTCTGTACTTTAGCCATGGCTTAACTCGTTATTAATATACCATGGAATTAACGATGACAAATTGTTAGATTTTACGCAATGACATACATTTATAGATAAACTTACAAACAGAGATTCTTTTACAAATTGCCCATGTCCATCCATCCATCAACTCTTTTCCGATGTAAAAATAAACCATTTCGTTGAGATTATTTTATATAAATATATTGATATAACCTCTTATGTCGAATCAATAGAAATGTTTATTTTATAATCGTTTTTTCCAATGAATAGTATTGATTTCTTCTTGTTGTTTTTTTTGTGGTTTGGAAAACACCCATCATTTATTTTTAATTAAACAAAGATGTTAACGATAAGATACAAATTTATAATGAAGTGATAATTCAAAATGAAATATAATTAAATACATGCTGGCTCCATTGGCTGTTTAAGTTTAAATAAACAAAACCCATTTCGCCGGTGGTGTTTGTTTCGATTATGTTTATCTAAAATTTAAGTCTCACATTAAAAATGGAAATTGAATAACACCAACTCTTTACTTCTGTCATTCATTAGGATGTAGACAGAATATTTTACAAAATTATCTGCTGCTAGATCTATTTTTTGTAACGAGTTTTGAGGACAAGTATTTCAACGAATTACATATACATCCCAAAAATTTGCTTAACATACAAAAAACGTTAATTTCAGAATTGTTAATTTTTGTGGGAGAATGTTGCTCTGCGGTTTTTTGACCCACTCCCGGCGATACGCTTGCTTGAGGTGCTCGACACTTTGGTATTGTTTAGGGCCAATCTTACTTTCCAAAATACTCCAGACACAATAGTCCAACAGATTGTATCCGGAGATTTTGGTGGCTATTGTGCGCTGGAAATTAAGCGAGGAACCTCATTTTGAAACCATTCTTGGGTGGCGCATGCTTAGTGCGATGGTGCTGAGTCCTGTTGGAAAGTCCAAGGTCTGCGGCCAAAATGTTTGCGTCGCCAGGGCTTTAATAGACCCTCCAGAATATTTTCGCGATAAAATTCGGCATTTTTTCTGATGCCACGGTCGATTAATAAGAGCAGAGAGCGACCAACGGCTGTTATGGCGGCCCACACCATCACTATGGCCGGCGCTTGAGTTCTGGTGGCCAACCGAAGATGCACATTTTCAGCTGACCTCTTTGGCAAGCAAACACGATCATTTTGTTTGTTTACAAACTGCTGGACAACGAGTATTTTCTCATCAGAGACAACCAAATTCGGCAGTTCACCACTTTCGGCCAAGCGAAGCAACTCTTTAGAGTCTATCTCTTGAGTCTATTTTCTTTCTGTTGCGGTGTAAGTTCTTGTACTTTTTGGAATTTCAATGGCTTTATCCCGAGCTCATTTTTCAATATTTGCCGAATAAAATATTGCGATATGTTCAGCTCACGAGCCATTTTTCGGCCACTGCGAAGCGGGTTTCGATCAAGTCGCTTCTTTACTTTTCGAACCATTTCTGCTGATATTGCTGTTTTCTTCCGTCCATTTCCTTGACGTCGGGCTACGCTACCAGTATCACGATAACGAGCGATGGTACGCGACACAAAAGATTTATTTCCATTTAAATGCAAATATAAAGAGATCACACTATCACGCTTGAATTCCATCACGAATAACTTTTTTTCTGGAAATTCTTACCAAAATGCTTTTGTACGCTTGTAAACAATATAATGAGCTGTCACTGGAATAATTTTAACAGCTGTCGGACGAGTGGCTTAGAAATGACAGCAGTTTGAAGTTGGTTGCAGTTTTTTCATTGTTGTTTTTCTAAGACCTTGCGGATATGTAATTTAATACACATCCCAAAACATGAAATGGCCAACACAATTTTTATTTTGTAGGTAATGTATTGTTATTAAATATTTAAATATAATTTCAGGTATATGACCACCACTACCAATTTTCGACCACCTTTTCAAGCATTTGATGACGTATTTTAGCAATGAAAAAAAAAATCTGTGAATTTTATATGTATTATACTAAAATATTTTCAATTTCGGATTCCCAAATCAACCATTTTTAAGAATGCATATAGCTTTGATCCTATACAAAGATTCCTCAATATTTTGAGATATTTACGTTTTAGTCATATTCTCTATTAAATTTCGTAAATTTTTTATAGAAACTATGATCTAACGTTACTAGCAAAAATATCAAAACTGGTCCACATTTTAGTACTGTCCTAGTTGTAAGATACCCCTCATTTTAAGTTAATTAGGATTTTGGCCTCACTTTCTATTGAATTTGTTTAAAAATTCCAAACTTGCAGTTTCTAATGGGTTGTACCACCGGCGGCAGAATATTGTTTATATTTGAGTTCTAGAAAGATTTGCAAAATTTGATTTCACCCACAATACAGTACTGAAAGATTCTTGGTATTTCGGAACGATATGCATATTTAGTTCCACTGAAGGGAGTATAAATGTTTGTAAAACTTGAAATTTGAACGATTGATTCACCAATGAAACAGTTATATTTTTCCTTTAATTTTTCTATAATCTTCAACCACGATGAGTCGTTTTAATTTCCTTGTACTCCGTTAACTTGAACTGATCGCCAGTTTTAAACTGTATCTAAGTATGTTTAAATTAAAAAAATATATATATTAAAAAGTTGAAAAGATGTTTTATTTTTAATAAACAGTTTCCCAAAACGAAAGAATTTTAAAAAATATTGGGATAAAAAGGGATGGCATACGACCTATCAATTCCATACACATATTTATGAATAATCCTACTTTTTATACCAAGTTAAAAAATTCTAAGTAACTCACTTTCTTTTTCTTTCAGGTGAACATATCGATGATAAACCACACAAACGTAATTCGGTACGCTTAACAATACGCAAAGTAATGTATGCTCCGTCCAAAGCGGGCGAACAACCATCCATTGAGGTTAGCAAAGAATTTATGATGAAACCAAATAAAATTCATTTGGAGGCAAGTCTCGACAAGGAACTGTATCATCATGGGGAAAAAATTTCGGTGAATGTTCACGTGGCGAACAATTCGAATCGTACGGTTAAGAAAATTAAAGTATGTGTACGACAATTTGCCGATATCTGCCTATTTTCGACGGCGCAATATAAATCCGTTGTGGCTGAAACTGAATCCGAAGATGGTTGCCAGGTATTGCCCGGTTTTACATTATCAAAAGTATTCGAGCTGTGTCCACTGCTTGCCAATAACAAGGACAAGTGGGGCCTGGCACTGGACGGTCAATTGAAACACGAAGATACAAATCTAGCATCAAGTACACTCATAACAAATCCAGCCCAGCGTGAAAGTTTGGGTATTATTGTACACTATAAGGTGAAGGTGAAATTGCTTATAAGTGGTCCATTAATGGGTGGTGATTTGGTGGCTGAATTACCGTTCACTTTGATGCATCCCAAACCTGAGGAAGAAGAAAATCCACTGTTGAGTGACAAATCACCGCGTCAAAGTATACGCGGTGATGCCCAGCTGGTACAGATCGGTAATGATGATAGCAGCAGCAATACCGGTGCCAATAACAACAGTGCAACAGGTGGTGTGCAAGAAGTACCAACCACAAATCTAATTCAACTGGACGACGATGATGCCCAAGATGATGATATAATATTTGAAGATTTTGCACGTCTTCGATTAAAAGGTGCCGAAACGGAGGCCTAAATGTGTCTGTCCAAACAAACAACAAAGCCATATGCCATTTATAGTAATGAATGAAAACTACGTGTATTATCCATCATAGATTCTATTTCCACAGAACATTCTCTGTTGCAACAAAGAAAAACAAATGTTTTTTGATTTTAATCATCAAACACATGCTGAAATTGGTGTTAGTAGATACCCCCATCCAACAAACTCCAACTTTAGAGAAACTTGAACTTTGTGTTTTCTGCATATTTTACATCACTCTGATTGGATAGATTTTTATGTTATAGACAAAATATTACTGTAGGCAAATCGATTTTTTAAATATTCAATGTGAGCAAACCATTGTTGGAAATTCTAGAAAGTAAATATTTAATCATAGCTAGTATATATGTATTTGACGATACTACGAATCTCAGGGCACAGCATTTTTGCGAGTTGCATGATGTTCGAAAATATAATAAATAACGTTTTTATTTTTTGGAAAAACTATTGAAATGATTAAAGGAAAATTGTCTATATATTTTGTTATTAAATGAAATTTATGATCTAGAGGTCATCTGCAATTTGTAAAATACCTTCAGTTGGCTATTGAATACCTAGAGGCAATGTATTCTCAATAGGGGAACTTTCGTAATAGAAGACCCTAAGGAAAGACAACGAAGTATGATATTCCTTGTGGAATAACTATAGTTATTCTTGGAGCTATTCTATTTGAGAAGCATGCTGTTGCATATAAGAAAGGTTTACAGCCTTAAATGATTGTGTATTCTACTTCATATATCAGAGTAGAAGACCAATGAGGCTCCTTCTGTTTTTAGTAGATTTAATAGTGTTCTGTGGTCTATAGAAGACCTGATGGCAGATTATTGTATACAGAAGATCATTATTTGATACTGTCTACGTTGTAATAAATATCCTGATACAGAGTGATGTAAAATGTTATAAAGTCGTTTACACATGAAGTTTGCCTTCTTTCAAACTTGATTTTTCTTTTGTATAGGAACTACATAAAAAAACTAAAACAGCGAATGTTTCAAAGTCTATGTTTTCTTTTTCGTAAACGTCTAAGCTAGATAAACCTGAGAAAAGCAGAAGGAGACGAAAGAAATGTTAACAACATAAATTAGAAATTACATGATAACACACAAAAGCATTCGATGTCCATGTTGATGATCCCCTAGTAGTATGAACTGTACGTACATATGTCACACACATGCAATTGAATTCAATTAATTATTTTAAATATTATATAAAACAAAATGTATGTATATGATGTCCTTGTCACCTAGTGTTTAAGTTATAATTTATGCTATCAAATCTACAAACCTACCTATCTATCTGTCAATCAACTGTCAACTGCTATGTTTTCATTTATGTTTTCAATACTGTAAAAAAAAGAAAGGAATGGAAAATATATAAATTATAAACACACTATAAACAAAAGATAATTTATAAATTATGTAATACGAAATTATCTGCCGCTTTTATGCTGTATATTATATGTACATTACAAGAACAACTATTACTACTATTGCTACTATTACTCTTACTACAGAGAGATGTTTTGTTTGTTATCTATGCAAATATGCATATATCATAGCTACATAAAATATACATATTCTACTCCCAGAAGAAAAAAAAAACACACACACACATTAAATATACTCGGCAATACTCTGACAAAAAAAAAATTAAACTAAAAACGAAAATAATATAAAAAATTCTACTCTTACCATAGTTGTAAAAAATCATCATAACATTTTTATTTTTTTTGGAATAATTAGACCAAAGTAACGAAAAAATTTTTGTATAACATTCATGTTGATATAAATAATTTGCTTTCCAAAATTATATCCAATTGTTGTTACTTTTTATCTAAAGCAAGGAACTAGTGGAAATTCACTAACTACCATACCACCAACCACCATCAACACCTTACTTATTGCATACACCATTAAATTTCAAAATAAAATACAAAGAGCTTTAATAATTATATATATTTAATGAGAAGAAGAAAAAACATAAAACCTACAAAAATAATAAAACAAAATAAACATATTATATGTTGTATATTTTTTCAAAATTTTATTTTGTATAAAATAACAGCCTTATTTATAATTCTATTTTAATGAAATTCAAACGTCGTATACTGAAACATACATGCATTTCGGCGCATTTTCCGGATATTTATTTTAAACGAAACACCAACAAATACATACAACAACAACAAAGAATAAAAACACACAATAACATATATATAGAAAGATTTTTTATTTCAATTTCTATTTTGCTAAGGGGTGTTAGGCTATCGGGAAACGAAAAATTTTTTAGTCCATATTTTACATTTTATTAATGTATATCAATTCCATCAATCAGATCATTTTAATTTAATCTTTGTATTATTGGACAATACCTATGCACTACTTGAGGACAAGTAACAACTTGAATTGTAGTCAAATAGTCTGTATTCAAAATTCTAAGCACAATACCTTCAAATGCTCAATATTTTCATAACACCATGACCTTGAATATATCAATATTTGGACAATATCGTAAGCTGAGGGTCATTCAAAAGCCTTGAGGTATTAAAAAAAATTTATTTTTTTGCGAAGATGTGTTCTAAATATACAGGGTGAGATAAAATAAACTGCAACAAAGTCAAACGCAATCATTTTTACATTTTTTTAAATGAAAGCAATGAATGAAAGCAAAAAATGTCTAAAATAGCATTAAAGTTTTGAATAAGTTTAGATTTGTTCGAATTGCTTGAGGTGATCGACACTTTGGTATTTTGTAGTGCCAACCTTGCCTTCCAAAATACTCCAGACGAAATAGTCCAAATTCCTGGTATCCGGAGATTTTGGTGAACATTGTGCGCTGGAAATGAAGCGAAGCTGAGTCCGATGGTGCGTCCAAAGTGTTTGCGCGCCTAAAGCTTTAATACCCTCCAGAATATTTTCGCGATAATATTCGGCATTTATTCTGATGCCACGGTCGATTAATACGAGAGGGAGATACGGAGAGCCTCCATCGGTTGTTATGGCGGCCCGCACCATCACCATGGCCGGCGCTTGTGTTCTGGTGGCCAACCGAAGGTGCACATTTTCAGCTGACCACTTAGGCAACTAAACCCAATCATTTAGTTTGTTTACAAACTGCTGGACAATGAATGCTTTCTCATCGGAGAAAACCAAATTCAGCAGTTCACCACTTTCGGCCAAGCGAAGGAACTCTTTAGCTCGGGCTCATTTTTCAATATTTGTCGAATGGAATATTGCGATATGTTCAGCCCACGAGCCATTTTTCGGCCACTGCGATGCAGGTTTCGATCAAGTCGCTTCTTTACTTTTCGAACCATTTCTGCTTACTGTTGTTGCCATATTCGTTCGTCCACTTCCTTGAAGTCGGGATACGCTACCAGTATCACGGTGATACGAGATACTAAAGATTTATTCACATTTAAATGCTGGAGTGCTCTAGCAATAGCCACTTGTGGTTTTCCAGCCAAATAAAAGAAATCACACTATTTCGTTTGAATTCCATTACGAATAACTTTTTTTCTGGAAAATTCTCACCAAAATGCTTTTGTACGCTTGTAAACAGTATAATGAGCTGTCACTGGAATTATTTTAACAGCTGTTGGATGAGTGGTATAGAAATGACAGCAGTCTGAAGTTGGTTGCAGTTTTTTCATCTCAACCTGTATATATAAAAATCTATAAAATTGAAGCCACTTTAACTAAAAAATATAATGGGGACCTTCAAAACCTTCAAAAAATTGCTTTTGAAAATAATGTGAATCGAAATTAAAAAGTTTTTCAAGGTAAAATTTGTATTTAGTGGGAACTCAAATTTTCAAGCAGTACATGGTAAAGGCTATACCGTATAATGGTCCTATATTGAACATCTTCAGCAGACAAGGAATTTTAAACCCCAAATTTCAATTAATGGGAGTAAACCTATAACATCACAGAAACGAAAGCTTCAACATAACGTATAGCAATTTACAAAATAATAATTTCAAATAAATCTAGATAGTTTTCCACATTGTCCTAATTAATTCAATCGCTAATTGTAATCAACAAATGAGATTATTTTTTTTTTACATTTTGTTAATATTTCTAAAATAAGCTTACACCACATTTGCACATTGTTATTTATTCATTTGTTTATAGAAACGTTTTATGAGTTTTTGGAATAGACTTTCAAATCGAATGAAAAATTGAGTGCTAAATATTGACCAATACTTGTTTACATTTTCGAAATAAAATATTAGATTTTATGATAGTGAAAGAATGAATAAGTGCAAGTGGAAATAAGAACAGTTAATAGAGTTCATTAATTGAAACAAGTAAAAAAGGCTATAGACCGACGACGTGGTACCCTACAACATTAAATCTCCACTTAATTCATAAAAATAAGATTTGTTAATAACCAACATATTGTAGACCAAGAAAAACATGTTTTAGGTTGGGTATGTATCATCTTTCGACAAAACAATATCACAACGTTGGGAGAAATAATAGTAAAAAAGTATTTTAAGTCGAATTTCCCAAATTTATAATAAACTTTAATGTAAAATATATCGTTACGCAAAAAAGGTTATAATGTCATTTAAAAACTCAATATACCGTTTTCTTGATTTATGTCAAACTACAAGTAAAGAAGTTGTAAATCCTTGAGTCCTACAGATATCAACATGAAAATTTGATAAAAAAAGATCAATTAAGATTCGTAGATAAAATATTAATTGGTAACTCAAAAGCGCAAATGTTTCTATATAGGTCGTCCTTAAAAAAAAAACGCCCATTGAAAGGTTAAACCGTATTTCCTGTAATTTTAAGGTTTCTACAAAATTTTCAATCCAATGAGCTGAAACTTAACATAATGGATTTTTAAGCTTAAAAAGGATTCGATGAAAGCCCACTATATGGTATAGTTCTTATATAACTCATGATTTTCGATTTGTTGAAGGGTTTCACATAATAACGGAATTAGGTTAAATTCATATAAATTTTCTCATTAGATAAAAAATCCTCTTATAAAGACACCTTATGGTTCTTCTATTTATACAATCATTATATTCGGTAGTTTAACGTTTTCTGTGTTAACAATGGCTCCGGCTGTCTTTAGGCACTTTAAAGTAGTTGGAATTTGATATTTTGGGATCTTAAGAATATTATAAGTATACATCACAACAACACTGTTATGCTTCAGAAAAAATAGAGATAAAAATCCAACATAATTTATAAACCAATTGTATGGTATCAGTGGAGTTTTTTATACCGTACACTATACAGGGTGAGAAAAAAATTCAACAAAGTCAAACTTCATAATTTTTACATTTTTTTTTAATTTTAATGAATGAAAGCAAAAAATGTCGCAAATAGCATCAAATTTTAGAATAAGTTTAGATTTGTTCGAATTGGTCACCTCTGGCACGAATCATGGCCATCAAACGGCCAATGAAACCGCCACACGCTGCCCGAATTTTGCTCTGCGGTATTTTTTGCGCATTCCCGGCGAAGCGCTTACTTGAGGTGATCGACACTTTGGTGTTTTTTAGTGCCAACCTTGCTTTCCAAAATACTCCAGACACAATAGTCCAACGGATTGGTATCCGGAGATTTTGGTGGCCATTGTACGCTGGAAATGAAGCGAGGAACCTCATTTTGTAACCATATTTGGGTGGCGCCTGTTGAGTCCTGTTGGAATGTCTAAAATGTTTGCGTTTCCAAGGCATGCGATAATATTCGGCATTATGTCCAAAATGTTTGCGTTTCCAAGGCATGCGATAATATTCGGCATTTATTCTGATGCCACGGTCGGTTAATACGAGCGGATACCAATATTTGCGAGATAATATTCGGCATTTATTCCGATGCCACGGTCGATTAATACGTGCGGAGAGCGACCATTGGCTGTTATGGCGGCCCACACTATCACAATGCCCGGCGCCTGAGTTCTGGTGGCCAACCGAAGGTGCACATTTTCAGCTGACCTCTTCGGCAAGTTTGTTTACAAACTGCTGGACAACGAATGTTTCTCATCGGAGGAAAACCAAATACGGCAGTTCACCACTTTCCGCTAAGTGAAACTCTTTAGCTCTTTTGAGTCTATTTTTTTTCAGTTGCGGTGTAAGCACTTTTTGCAATTCAATGGCTTTACCCCGAGCTCATTTTTCAATATTGGCGAATGGAATTTTGCGATATGTTCAGCTCACGAGCCATTTTTCGGCCACTGCGACGCGGGTTTCGTTCAAGCCGCTTCCTTACTTTTCGAACCGTTTCTGCTGAGGTTGCTCTTTTCTTCTGTCCATTTCCTTGACGTTGGGCTGCGCTATCAGTATCACGGTAACAAGCGATGGTACGAGACACAAAAGATTTATTCATATTTAAATGCTCGAGTGCTCTAACGATAGCCACTTGTGGTTTTCCAGCCAAATATAAAGAAATCACACTATCTCGCTTGAATTCATCACGAATAACTTTTTTTTGAAAAATTCTCACCAAAATGTTTTTTTTACGCTTATGAACAATATAATTAGCTGTCACTGGAATAATTTAACAGCTGTCGGACGATTGGCTTAGCATTGACAGCAGTCTGAATTTGGATGTAGTTTTCATCTCACCCTGTCTTTGCAATTCCAGGAACGTAATGATGACAAAATTCCACCTAATTTTCCAAAGATTGTCTTCGCTAGAAGAAGATTCTGTTCCATTTTTTTTGTACAGGAGTTGATGGGTTTAGGACCAATATTTCGAGGTGTTACAAACTTTTTGGATCGATGTAACTCTTTACACATAACTAGAACTGCAAGAATGTAAAACTTTTTACTATGGTAATCGCCATTTGGATGGAACTTGAAAAATGTTAACGAATTCCGAAAAATCCGTTTAAATTGTGAGCTTTTTACGAGGGCTATACGAAGATGAGGACTTACATAAATTCATTTTTTGTCATAGGCTGTACTACCCGTTACGAACTTGAATACGAAATTAGAAACAATTTCGGTGAATAATGTCGCTAAAATCACTAAAATACCGAATATAGGGAGGTACCATTATAGGGAGGCTATACTAAAACGTGTACCTGCACAGCGAATCTCCGGTCATGGGCTGTAGTATCCATTACGACCTTTAAATACCAAATTTGAAACAGTTCCAATGAATGACGTCGCTAGAATCATCAAAATACCGAATAAAGGGGGGCACTGTTATATGGGCGCTACAAGAAGACGTGGATCTGCATACAAAATTTTTAGGGCATAGGCTGTAGTACTCGTTACAATCTTCTAATACGAAATTTGAAACAATTTCAGTGAATAATGTCGCTAAAATCGTCAAAATACCGATTATCGGGGGGCACTGTTATATGGGGGCTAAACGAAGACGTGGATCTGTATACAAAATTTTAGGCATAGGCTGTAGTACTCGTTACAATCTACTAATACGAAATTTGAAACAATTCGGGTAAATTATCGTTAAAATCATCAAAATATCGAATAAGGGGGCACTGTTATATGGGGGCTATACGAAGACGTGGATCTGCATACAAAATTTTTAGGCATAGGCTTTAGTACTCGTTACAATCTACTAATACGAAATTTGAAACATTCGGTAATGATGTCGTTAAAATCATTAAAATATCGAATATCGGGAGGTACCGTTACATGGGGGCTATACGAAGACGTAGACCTGCACTGACAAATTTTTGTCATAGGCTGTCGTATACATTACGAACTTCAAATATCAAATCTGAAACAATTCTGGTGAATTATGTTGCTAAAATCATCAAAATTCCGACATGACCCATTTACATATGTGTACCGAATTTTAGCCTTCAATCTCAATTTGTTCGAAAGATGGTATGATTACAATAGACAGACAGACATCGCTAAATCGTCTTAGCTGTTTTACGCTGATCCAAAATATATGTACTTTGTAGGGCTATCATGAATATTTCGAGCATTTTTGGATCAAAGGTCGGAATGCAATGGAAATTGGGGGAAAAATCGAAGAAATAAAACCCGTGCACGTCGCTCAGTTTACCTCCACAACAACAGCCCAGCGTCTATTCAAATCTCGAAAAGTATTTCGCGATCTTATTTTTCATTATTACCATTATAACTTCCTCCTGATAATGAATAAAAATCCGATCATTTATCTAAAATAAATTGAATTTTTCTTTGAAGACCAAAGTAAAACGCCTCCTCTACTCTCCCAAGAGAAAACGCGTTTTCGAGTTGTCTCCCTTTACAGCAACAACT